ATGGTTGACGGGTCGTTAGTTTGGCATGCCAGTGTGTATAAGCTCGCTGAATATATGCCTTCAGTCACCGGTATTGCAAGTCCAGCATTTTCCACCAACAGTAAATCCAATTCATTTGTTTTTTTATTTTAAATTGCCTTTTCCAACTTGCAAATGTGAATCTTTCCGGGAGACGTTGAGCAAGTCTTGCAGTTCTGCACCAGACACTGCCTGCTCCCATCTCCCACTGCCCTCCCTGGAGACCCTGAAGAATCAGAGTGCACTTCTAAGATGATCAGCAGGCATCTTTGTAATGAGGGGTTGCCCCCCGGACGTAAGGCTGGACGTAGAGCAGGAGCCTGAGCTGTATCTGGAGAGCACTCGGTGGGAAATGGTTAAAAGAAGGACGGTAATCAGGCTTACTGGGAAAGGCTCATGCCAGCTGGCTCCCACGATGGATGGCCTGATGATGGCAACGTTGAAGTGCTCTTTCTCTTGCTGGACCAGGTACTCTGCCAAGGCTTTGGTGTATGTATACGTGTTGGGCCAGTCCCCAATCAGCTTGGGTGTGATCTCTTGAATGATAGATTCATCCAGCCACCTAGTGGGACAAAGAAAAGAATTCTGTTGACATAAACCACACAGACAGATGAATGAAATGAGGAAGAAGTTAAGCAAATTGGTCAGCACACTCAACAGTCTATAGTTTCAAGACTCTTACCTGCAGTGGGGAAGTCAGCAACTAGAATACTTTTAGGCAAAAGAAGGAATAACTGGGAGTTTTGTTATTTACTACTATGGAGCCAAGATTTCACCCCTGGTACAGATGTGCTGCACCAGCATTGTTTAGTGATGCAATTTTTACTGGTCTAGACAAACCCTGTTGGGCATTCATAACCTGGCCCTATAGTTCCTTCTGAATTAGCTAGCACAGTCCCCAGCTATACATGCAAACTCTTGGAAAAATTCAATTCCACCAAGGGTTTAGCAGCATTACGAAAGTTTAAAATGTCACAATTATCTTCTTCAATGATACTGCAATTGCATTTATTATGCAAATATCTGACATCATCACTGTGGTTGCATGCAGGTTCCTTTCCAAATCTCCCCACCAGCTCCCACCACCACAAAAATCATGTGTTTGGTTCTGCTCTAGCCAAGCACAAAGGTTTGGTCCATTTTTTCTGAGAGGTAGTGTGGCTCAGTGGATAAGCTGAGCCTGCTATTGGAGAGACCTTGGCTGTGCCAGAGGTGGCTTTGTAGAACCTCTGTTGTCTTCAATTTTTCCATCTGTTAAAGGAGATGAATGATATTTGCTTTCCCCTCTGCCAAAGATATTTTTATGGAGGTGAATGAATGCCAGTGGCTGGCTCAATAAGTGTTATGTGTTCCCTTCTATTACTGATACCAGAGGAAGGAGTTACTAATTCGGCTCCTGGAGTCGAGGTCAGTGCTGTTAAAATGCAGTCCCTGGGTTCAAACTGTGCTCTGGCAAACCAACAACACTTTGCTCATCTGCCTGTGTTTTGGTTCAGAGAGGAAGGGAGCTTGCTGTGTTTTTGAAATCTACAGACAGGGCTGGCAATCTAGATAGGGTTCACAGAAGTCTGGTGCATAACTCCATAGAACCAAAAATAAAGTCCAATAACCTTTTATTAAGTTTTGGAGCTTTTTCTTTGTGGTGGACAGGAGAGCTCACTGGGGACATTCCAGTGATGCTCCACCACTTCCTTCTCTCCCCTATCTCTACATAAAATAAGGTGAGAAGACTTGAAATCTTAAAATAGGCCACTTGGGGCAGAAAATGGAAGCGTACATGTGCTATATCAGTGGTCTCCAATCTTTTTACACCCAAGATCACTTTCTGAATCTAAGGACAACCCAGGGTCTACCCTGCCCCTTCCCCGAGGCCCTACCCCTTCCAGAAAGCTCACTCCATCTCCTCCCCGCCCCCCGTCAATCGCTCTCCCCTACCCTCACTCACTTTCACCGGGCTGGGGCAGGAGGGAGTCCGGACTCTGGGCTGGGGCCGAGGAGTTCACAGCGTGGGAGGGGGCTCTGGGATGAGCCTGGGGCAGGGGGTTGGGGGGGGGTACAGGACCTCCTGCTGGGCAGCACTTACCTCCGGTGGCTCCCGGTTGGCGGCGGGCACAGCAAGGCTAAGGCAGGTTCCCGGTCTACCCCGGCCCCACACTGCTCCTGGAAGGGGCCAATGCGCCCTTGCAGCCCCTGGGGAAGGGGCGGGGGACATGTGTGGCTCCACACGCTGCCCCTCTCTGCAAACACTGCCCCCGCAGCTCTCCCAGCCAATGGGAGCTGCGGGGGCGGTGCTTGCAGGCAAGAGCAACGCACAGAGGGAGACCCATGCCACGCTCCCCCCACGTCCCAGGGCCACGGGGCTGCACTGGCCACTTCCGGGAGCAACATGGGACCGGGGAGGCAGGGAGTCTGCCTTAGCTGCAGCCACACTACACCAGAGATTGCAATCGACTGGGAGATCCTCTAGGATCGACAGTCAATCACGATTGACCAGTTGGTGACCACTGTGCTATATCTTGAGAACCACTTCGTCAAATAAGCTCAAATTTGCACCACAAATTCTGTCCCTGAACTAGCATGGCGATTTTCAACCAAGTCTGACTAGAGACGGTCAGGAATTTTCTGACAAAATGTTATTTTTTTCAAATTGCAAATAGACCCAGAACTGTTTGCAGGAAAGGGTTGGTTTTATTAATCTCAATTGGGAAAAAAAAGTTTTCAAATTGTCAAAACAACACTTTTCAACATTTTTGAAACAAGAAGTTTCCTTTTCTGGTTCAAAATGACTTCATTTTGAAAGTATAGTTAATTTATAATAAATAAGGTGAAATTCTATAAAAGGTCAAAATCAAAACAGAACATTTCAACTGACTCATGGAAAATTTCAGATCAGATTATTGGTTCATGAAAGTTTTCAAAATTTCAACTTTTCATCCTAAATCAGGATGGGAGAAAATGTTGAAATCTCAAAAACGCTTGTGGGATAGGAAACAGTTTCCTGCCCACTTCCAGTTCTGACCATGTATGTGGATTTCAGAAATGATGCAAAATTCAGCTTTAAACAGAAACCCTGCCTACAGTCATAGCTATGGTCAGAATACTGCCTTTGCTTTCCCAGTGTAATTGAGCTACCATGGGAATAAGCCATCAGCGGTACCAGGGCCAACTGTAATGCTGATTTACCAGATGTTGCAACTTGTCCATCTAATATATCTAGGGCCCTACCAAATTCATGGCCATGAAAAACGCATCACAGACTGAAACCTGGTCTCCCCCTTTGAAATCTGGTCTTTTGTGTGCTTTTACCCTATACTATACAGATTTCGCAGGGGAAACCAGCGTTTCTCAGGAGTCCTGACCCAAAAGGGAGTTGCGGGGGAGGGTCACAAGGTTATTTTAGGGGGGTCGCAGTATTGCCACCCTCACCTCTGCGCTGCTGCCTTCAGAGCTGGGTGGCTGCTGGCTAAGGGCCCAGCCCTGCAGGCAGCAACGCAGAAGTAAGGGGGCAATCCCATGCCATGACATCCTTCCTTCTGTGCTGCTGCTGACGGTGGCTCTGCCTTCAGAGCTGGGCTCCCAGCCAGCAGCCACTGCTCTCTAGCTGCTCAGCTCTGAAGGCAACGCCACTGCCAGCAGCAGTGCAGAAGTAAGGATAGCAATACCACAACCCCCCTACAAAACCTTGTGACGTCCCTCCCCACACACAAACACATACAACTCCTTTTTGGGTCAGACCCCTACAATTACAACACCATGAAATTTCAGATTTAAAATACCTGCAATCATGACATTTATTATTTTTAAAATCCCATGACCATGAAATTGACCAAAATGGACAGCGAATTTGGTATGGCCCTAAATATATACTTTCAAAGTGCTCAGCTAAAGTGCCCTGTCATGACTGCAGTATCTTGGGTGAGCCTCCACGCCGCTCTGAGCGATAGTTGAGAGGTTTGTGCTACAGACTCTCTCAAGAATACCAACCTCCCACGTGACATGATTAATCGGTGTTCCCATCATGGAAGCACCGATCTGACAATTCAACAAGGCCTTATGCTGCCCTACATTTTCTGTGACCTACATTCGAGGTTTTGAAAGTCTAATTCATATAGTAACTGCTTTTGCTCAATGCTGTTGGTGCCTTATGAAATCAAAGAAAAATGCTGTGGTTAGCTGTCCACTGTCCCCCTGCTCCACCAAACAGATATGTCATTTTCTCAGGGGAAAATGTGACTTTCTGTATTAAGATTTTACACTTAACACAAATAAGGTGCTCCCTTATGTAAATTAGAACTGACCTCCTTTTACATTTCCTATATTATAATCAGGGACAATGTGCACCCTACTTTAGTCCACACTGTATAGACTGTGCTGTGCTCCTTACCTCAGCGCACCCGCCAAAGCTGATTTCCCTCAGCTTTAGATTAAGGCAAACCTTGCTTGATGTAGCAGATTATACATTTCCTCTAGTGGCCTGGTGGTATTTAGAAGTGTGACTTTTGGTTTCCACAGATCAATCTTAAAGTTTCAGTTACAGTTAAAGAAGCATCATATTTGAAATCAAGGAGATAGAAGGAGGACAAATGCAAAAAAACCAGCTTGACCAAGGATTCTAGCTGAGTAAATAATCATAAATACAAATTAAATTGGTCATCAAGAGGACCATTAAAGGATCTGTTATTTAGCTGCAATTGCAGGGTCATGCCTTTTAATAGCTTTGTAAAAAAATTCTGCTTTCCTATTAGGCCTAAGAAGCTTCTTTACGCATTAGCCTTAAAAATCCCCGTTACACATCATAACAGCCAACGTCCTACAACTGTAGAAGAGTATATCTGAACGTCCTGTTCCAGTTTCTGCTGGCATTGGCTACTATGAACCCGAACAGCAGGTGAACAGCCAGGATTATAATGTATTGCCAGCCTCAGACATACAGATATATGAAACTTAAGAAAAGAAAAATATAGATGCTTGTTCAGTTGAGTGCTTTAAAATCAGTTTTCAAATAGACATTTGATGAAGATACGAAGGGATGCTTTCACAGCTGGCTAACCCAAAGTATAACTTGCTATTTCTTTTCCCTTTTTACTGACACAATCCATGTAATTATTTGGCTATATGTGGGGTGGAGGAAGGGATTAAGGGTAAAACTTCCTTACCTATTAATTATCTTTCTTTGAGCCCTTCTGGACTAGTGCACACACTTAGATATACTTCCTCCTAGTTAGCTGAAGACAGAATAATGAAGTATTCTGATAGCATCACCTCTGCCTCTGTCCTCCTACCCATTCTTTGTCTCCCTCCCTGCGCCAGCCAGTTCTCTGCTCCTCACATTCTCCCTTAGTCTCCTGTCCCCCACCTGCCTTTGTATTTTCCTTACTTTTCCCCATCACAAGTCCCTGATCTTAACTTTCTACCTCCTACTCCCCCATGTTCTTCTGCAGCCTCTCCCTGACACCCCCACCGACAAGTCTCCTTTGTGCACCGTTACAGTTTCCAGACCACTTGCCAAACCAGGAGTCCGGCAACCTTTGCTGAGTGCCCCCTAGTTTCAGTGCCTTTAAAAACAATGAGAGACAGTGGTCCTCTTCACTATGGGCAGCCTTCATGCCACCTGCAAAGGCTGCAGGGAAGTGGCAGCCATCTTAACTGAGGGCAGCCTGTGGCTTCCAGCCCACTGAAAGCAACGGAAGATAGTAAACCTGTTGAGCAAGGACAACATTCACAAGAATGCTGCCAGAGTTCAGGCAACCATGAGAAAGTGTAAGGCAAGCAAGTAAGCAAGCAAACAACCAAAAAAACAAACTGTGGTGACCAAGAGTTGACAGCTGTATATACTGCTGAGGCAAACATACAGCAGAGCAGATAAGAGCTAGCGCCTCACCCCTTAACTCTCTGAAGCTTTCACCATTGCTTCCTTTGCCTGTGCAACCTGGAGACTGCAGTAGAGAGGCATATTGCCAGAAATCCCTGACAGCTTCAGAGGCTCATTCTGTCCTTTGCTCAAGTCTTTTTTCTGAGCCAGCACGTGCCGGTGACAGACAACTGAACTCTGCAAGCTGGCAAACCCCTTATATGTAAGTAGTGAAGGCGGGAGGTCCTGATATCATTAAGGTTATTTTGACTTCATATGCTGGCTGGGGAGAACTATATTCAAGACTCTGGGCTGCTAGAGGAAAATCAAAGACAGAACAATATTTGACATTACGTTTTCCGGTTAGCACTCAGAGAGTGCAATCGTTTATTTTGGCAAAATGGGATTCAAGAGCCAACCCAAATTCTATTCTTCCCTCAGAGAAAAAGCCAGCAGATACTGCTTATGCCCATCTCAACAAGTCCAAAGGACAAGAAGGCTCACACCTCCATTCTGAGCTAGTGGCTGGCAGAGTTAAAGTTGATATTATTCAAATGGAAAATTATTTGAAAAGAAAAAGGAAAGCAGAACAAACTGCCATGGGGAAGTTTAGTTCTTCTCAGGAGAAGGCTTCCCTGGAATCCCTGTCAGCAGGTTTTGTTTTCCTTTCTAATTATCCATCTATTCAACGAACTCAGTTAAATAAACACTTTTGTTGTCCTGCAGATTTACTGAATTCTCCAGCTGAGCTGTGGTTTTCAATACAGAATGAACCTGGCCCTGCAGATGGACAGCTCATACATGGGGAGAAAGCAGTTGGAAAGGAACCATTAGAAAGGACTAAACTCAGCTGTCTGGGCTGGGATTCTTGCAATGAGATGTCATCATTTTAAATCTCTTTCTAAAACAGTGAGTCTGATTCACTCCAGTTTGACACTACTTGGGACTGCACTGAAATAAGTGGAATCACACTGACTGGCAACAGGAGTAACGCAGTGGTGAATCACGCTCACTTTCTGAAAAGTTACAGCTCCTATTGAGGGAACAAGAGTGTTGGGACTTAGAAAAGGAAGAAGCACTGTGTCATTCTCACTAACACAAACAAGCACCATCAACTGACTCCATGCTGGACCATAAAGAGTCACATGCCACTATAGAAAAAGACTGGAAAAACATCTGAAATAATAGGATTGACACATATGGATCATTTTATTTGCTAATTCTTCCCTATTCAACATGAAATCAAAATACTGTTGGAAGGTCGATCCAAATGACAATCTAATGTGACTTTAAAAGATCTCCAAATAAAGACTCAGAGGTTATGTCTATATTGCTAATATTTCCAGAAAATATGAATAAAAATAGGTTAAAAGGGGAAGACCAAAAATGCTAACATTATTGGATACAAGCATGTAGGAATGATTCCTCCAATCAATGTTTTGAAAGTTGATCTCTTGAAGATACTTGGAATCCAGTTACCGCCTCCCTCTGTCTCCTTCTTCTCTTACACACCCATTTCCCAGCACTGTTAGCTGAGGTGCAAATGTGAAGGGCACTGCAACTATAACTGGTCTGAGGGAACATTCTATAGCATAGGTGTATGAACAATCCAGTCATAGGTTTTCTGCAGAGGTGGCGCATCACACCAGCATCAGGAAGGAAAGCTGTGTTTGTTTCTACTTACTCCACTAAGTCGCAGAGCTTCTTGGTCTCAACAGGTGGTGGGTAGATGACTTCATCTATATTTCTCCGATTACAATTTGCATAGGCAGTGGAGATGTGGATAAAGGCCTCGAGCTTCTGCATCTGCCGAGCCAGCAGTAAGAGCTGTTGTGTGCCCATGACATTCAGCAGCAGGGCATGTCTAGACAAGGGGAGAGAAAGCAAACATAAGGAGTTCATAGGGGATGAATGTATTAAAACTATACACTGCAAATCTCTCCTCAAAGGCAAACCTCCACAGTGAGGAAAATAGGTCACAGCAGAAGATGAAGTTTAAATGAGATGCAAGAGGCAAAATTAGTTTTCAAACCTGTAGTGCTGGATTCTTCTACTATGAATCCACTAGTCTGGTCAAAAACTATAACTCAGGAGTATTTCTACCCAATCCAATGGACTGGAGGCAAAGTTCCTCTTTAATTTATTATGGAAATTAAAAACTGACAACACCTCTTTGCTGGCATGTTTGCTGAACAACCATTCCACCTCAAGAAAAATACAAGTATTTAAACAGAAGGACATGAAATGTTGTTCTTATTGACTTTTTAGCCCCATTCAACATGGTTTCATATCTGGTCTTGAAGGACACATGCTATGCCAACATACAAGGGATTCCAGATAGGTATATGGGGCCTTGTCCAAAGCAATAGAACAACACTAGAAGAAGCCAAAGTTACAAGTAATAAAATTGGTGATTCCAAAGGGTTGGGGGGGGGGGGAAGTTGGTAAAGGAGTAGGGAAAAAGGGTACCAAGAAGGTCCTCCCTGAAACACTCAGGATATGTGCAAGGTGTTCTGGTAGTTTTCTACATGGGCTCTGACTGATATGTGGGCTCCCTTTGCCTGAGCTTGCTTGCAGGCTTCATATTAGAGGAAATGTGCTCTCCTCCAGGGAGGCAGAGACACTGGGGAAGATGGGGCCAGTTTCAGCAAACTTGTCAGCAGGAGGAGCTTTCAGTTCTGGGGGGGAAAAAGAAGAACTCATTATCCATTCAGCTGGACTAGACAGAAATACCTATGAGTTATGATTTCTGGCCAAAATAGTACATCTAAATTCATTTATTTTGCATATACAGCACAGTATTACCTAGTCCAGGGATCGGCAACTTTTGGCACGCAGCGTGGGCTGAGGGATATGCTGGCCGCTGCTTCCCGCCACCCCCATTGGCCTGGAGCGGCGAACTGCAGCCAGTGGGAGCCACGATCAGCTGAACCTGCGGATGCGGCCAGTAAACAAACCGGGACGGGATCGGCAACCTTTGGCACGTGGCCCATCCCTGACCTAGTCTATAATTGGAGCAGAGTGAATAATAGGTTTTTCACTCACTCTCAATTCTGAACCAAAAAACGGTTTTGGAGAAATTAAAATGATTTTTTTAAAAGTATTCCGCAAATAAAAAAATGTGTTTCAGGTCAAACAAAATGATTTGTTAGACTCAAAAAGCAATGTTTAATTTTTATTTAAAGCCTTTTAGAACTTTTAAAAATATAAGTAAAAAGAATTCTGAATCAAAAAGTAATTTCAAATTGAAAAATCAAAATGTTTAATTTCAAAAATGTAAAAACAAAATATTTCAATATTCTACCCCCTTGATGTGAACAATTTGATGAAACCAACATGAACTTGAAAAACATTTCAGTGTTGCCGAATATCCATTTTGGTTTTTTTATAAAAAGAAGTTTTGGCTGAAAAAATTCACCAAGTTCTATCTATAATCTCATTTTAAGGCCTTCATTTTTGGAACGCAAGAACATTCAATCTATCGTGCCATGTTGAATCAACAGTCCATGGAATCCACTATCTTGCCCATAGCAGCAACTCACCCCTCATGTTTCAGAGGAAGGCAAAAAATACATCCCACAATTATACAATGCTCTGGGAGAAATTCCCCCCTGGTCCCTGTGGTGATTAACTAAATATAGTTACAGTAATAATAAGTGGAAAAAAACCCTCAGGTTGAGCAATGGTGACACAATCAATGTAATGTCTCAGAGGGGGATATTGTAATTGTCATTAATGAACTTCTTTTGGGGCCTGTATCTATGACCACAATCACATCACTATCATTATTAAAGTGGGGCTCAAAGGCACCAATCACAATTCAGACCCCATTGTGCTAGGAACTCTTTCATTAATATGTGACAATGAACAAACCAAGTGTTTCTCAAGGAAATCCCTTAAGTAACAGGCCATCTTTTTAAAATGCCTCATTACAATGAAGGCAACATTTTCAAAGCTGGGTGAATATTTTAAAATGTTACAGTACCTTGTGATTTGCTATTTAAAATATGCTGCTTCAAAAAATTATCGTTTCCCTCCTTGAGTTACCTTTAGTGAAAAAGCAGGACCAATAACATTAGCTGTAGAGTCAGAGATTGCGTAGACTCACTTCGCACTCCTTCCATGTAGCCCTGCCAAAACATCTGAGTCCAGGCACATAGCACCTTCCTGCTGTCCCAGTTCTGGGGCCGCACCTAACTCTGCCAGTGCACTGCAATCCTAATTTGCAGGACTCCTTTTTATTCCTGTCCTGGGCTTCATGTCGCAATGCCACAGTACCTCAATCTTGATGTGTGTGTGTGTATGTATTTTTTAAGGTCTGACATATGTGATATTTTAGGCACTCAATAATTTGAGCCCTTTAAATTGTATATCCAATCCAGAATTTATATGCAGTTTGAAAACATACCTGGAGAATTATTACTGTAATTGTACAAGAAAAAACAATAATGGTCTCTCATATTTTGTGTGTCCCAGTAAGAAGCTAAGTTCTACTTAATAAATGCAAACAGCAGAGAACAAGGGACATACTTTAGTGGCTCATCAAAGCGAACTGTTGCTGCACAGTGGAATACAACATTGACCTGGGACAGGAGCTCCTGCGAGTCCTTGGCGCTGATGGCCAGATTTGGCTGAGTGAGTTCTGCATTAATAGGCTTAATCTTCTCTTGGAAGTTAGGGCAATCTTCCCGGACTCTGTCAAAGACCTAGAAACACAAACACAATGATCAGCTACTGCAGGGGTCGGCAACCTTTCAGAAGTGGTATGCCGAGTCTTCATTTATTCACTCTAATTTAAGGTTCCACATGCCAGTAATACATTTTAACGTTTTTAGAAGGTCTCTTTCTATAAGTCTATAATATATAACTAAACTATGGTTGTATGTAAAGTAAATAAGGTTTTTAAAATATTAAAGAAGCTTCATTTAAAATTAAATTAAAATGCAGAGCCCACCGGACCGATAGCCAGGACCAGGGCAGTGTGAGTGCTACTGAAAATCAGCTCACGTGCCGCCTTCGGCACATGTGCCACAGGTTGCCTATCCCTGAGCTACTGAATCATGGACTACTGCTATCATTCCTATTAATGATAATAGCACCCTGATTAACAGCCTGTTTGCTGTATTTGCATCAGTTGATGAACCTAACATGACCGAGAATGACTGATACTTCCAGATGTCATAGTGGTAGGAGGGTCTTCTGCATTGGGGAATGTAGGCAGATAAATAATAATGGACCTGATTGTCCCCTCCCATAGAAAAACCTGTCAGAGAGAGTGCCCTCCCAAAAATCTGAGGACAGGATGAATTGCTCTGCTGAAGAATGAACAAAGGGTCCTCTCAGCATCCCATGTCTCCTGGGGAATCCACAGGAGGTCCCATGCCTCCACAGTGGCTCTGCAACCCCCTACACACAATCTGGCTAGCATTGCTCCAGTGGAGCTACATTGCCAGGACTTCCTCCACTGGCGGCTGCCCCTAGAATTTTATATGAACAGGTGGGGGATGAGGGTAAAGTGTGGAGTGGGACCTATAGGAAAGTTAAAGCACTATTAGGCTTGGTTAGATTTCCTGCTGATTCTACAAAGAGCTTGAGGGGAGGAGGGAGACAATGTGCACCATCCTGCCCCCTAGCTCTCCCTCTGACACCGCCTGCCGATTCCCTCTCACGGTTCATGTATTCCCAGTCCCACAAAGAGCCATCCATGATATCTGGAGCAGAGGAATCAGTACTGGGGAAGTGGCTGACCACTGCCTACCCTTTTGCATGGAGGGGTTCCTCTTCATGCAGATCTCAGAGACAAGTGGGCTCAGCATAAACTATACTTTGCATTTACATCCTGCCTTTCCTAAGACCTCAAAAAGTAGATGCACTAAAGCAGTATTTTAATTGTCCAAAATCCACCTTAAAAATAAGTGAAAAAAATGAACAATCCTTTAAACTGCCCTTATGGACAGAAAAGTGCTAATAAAATTAGCACCCTTTCCCACTCTACAGTTCTGCTCCCTGTGTCTTTGAATAACATGTATTTACTTGCCTGAGAAAAATGCAACGTTACAGCTATCAGCAGAGTGAAGATTTGATTCTCCCTTGTGCATCAGGAACAAAATAGCCAACTACTGTAAGTCCTAGCTGCAAAATCTTTGTTACTTGTGATGATGTAAGAGGCAAAAGAGAACATGGCTTGATTTTCAGAACTCCACATGAGTTTGCTGGATTAGCAGTTAAAATTGTTTTTTTGACTTGCAAATTGGTCAAACTATAAAACTTCTCTTATGGCTTTATACTGCCACCGATTACTGTAGTATCTGACCACCTTTTGCATAAAATTGATAATAGTGAAGTCCCTAGTGGACTTTATGATGTCTCTGCCCTTTTGGGGTACAGAGAGAATAATGAGAATACCTATGAAATCATAGAGGTATAATCTAGTCAGATTTCAGAGTAGAACCATACTTCAAGGATCACTTTTTCCCTTTCTTGTTACACTAGAGGTTTTCTGCCCAGTCCAGTGAGGTAGGGTGTGGGGCTGTGTATCTTTCCATTACCATTATCTCTGTTTTGATAGATACTGGCCTATCTGTGACCTGTCCAGTGCTTATGGAATGGTATGAAGTACTTGATTTAAAATAAACATACACTAAATAAAAAGATGTACAAATATATTGAATTGCAACTAAAGCAAATATTCTGTCATCTGATTAAGGGATTATCATCCTTCTGTTTATTTGGCCAAAAAATCCTGATATGCCTCCATGTTTGCAGCAATATAGCACAGATCAGGATATGATCAGCATTCCCCCTAAAGCCGGGAGTTTGTCTGCTATGTCTCTTTTCTTCAACATATTGCTATAGGGCCTTAATAAACAAGAAATTCCCAAATGAGCAATTTAACAAGAGTGTGCACATAAGGCTGATGTTTTATTTTTCCAAATTGTACACAGTTACCAGGTATATGTTGGGAGCAGTACTTTGGCTATGGAAACTGGGTTTACAGCTGTAAATCATTCCCTAAATATCATACATCGAGTCACTGTTCTTTACAGCAACAAAATCCTATACAAACTCTCTGAAATGGGCAAGATTTTCAAAGGCACCAATGTGAGGTCACCAACGTGAGCTCTATTCCCACTTAGTTTCAATGGGAGTTGGGTGCCTAATGCACTTTTGAAAATCTCCCCCTGTAATTTGAGGGTCTATTGAGAAATTGCGTTAATCTGCATCATTTCTATGTTACAATATATGTAGGGTCAGTAGGTAAGTCCTGATAAGACCAAAACTGATCTGTGTTTCTGATGAGAGGTACTGTAAGACTAAAGCCTTGACCACTTGTGGTCTTTTAAGATCTCAGGCCTGATTCTCCATTGCTGTGCCTCTTGTGTAATCATTTACACCAGTGCAAAAGGAGTGTGAAACCCTGAATCACAGTGTTACACTCCAGTTCGTGCAATTACATTCTGCCCACATCTGAATTCCACCCATTGTTCTCATTAGGTATAACAGTCTTCTTAAGCTTCTCTCCTAACTGTTGTGCAACATTGCTTCAGGCTGTTGTGTTTTACACCAAAGGATTCATTGCATTTCAATGAAGGGTGAGGCAATGTCTAAATAGAAGTTTGTATAATTTTCCCTCTGTTGATACTCACACCTTGTCAACTGTTGAGAATGGGCCACACCCACCCTGATTGAATTGGGGCCACACCCACCCTGATTGAATTGGCCTCGTTAGCATTACAAAAAGTAATTTCCCCTCTATTGATACTCACCCCTTTTTGTCAACTGTTGGAAATGGGCCATATCCACCCTAATTGAATTGGCCTCATTAGCACTGATCCCCTCCTTGGTAAGGCAACTCCCATCTTTTCATGTGCTGTATATTTATACCTGCCTACTGTATTTTCCACTCCATGCATCTGATGAAGTGGGTTATAGCCCACAAAAGTTTATGCCCAAATAAATTTGTTAGTCTCTAAGGGCATGGCTACACTTGAAGATGTAGAGCGCTGTGAGTTAAACCAGCCCTCATAGAGCGCAGTAGGGAAAGCGCTGCAATCTGTCCATGCTGACAGCTTCAAGCGCACTGGCATGGCCACATTTGCGGCACTTGCAGCGGCACTGGGAGCAGTGCATTGTGGTAGCTATCGCAGCATGCAAGTGACTGCAACATGCTTTTCAAATGGGGGGTGGTGGAGTGTGACAGGGAGTGTGTTGTGTGTATGTGGGGGGAAAGAGAGTGGGTTTTTGGGGTGCTGAAAGTGTGTCAGCATGCTGTCTTGTAAGTTCAGACCCCCCCCCACCTCTCTCTCACTCACTCAAAGCAAACAGTAAATGTTTGCTTTTTCTCAGAGCGGATAAGCAGCTGGCTTCTCTGAAATGGAGCTTTGAAAGGGCATTTCCGCATTCCTGCAGCCGATTTCACAACAATGATAAGAGTGGCCACTTGACTTACGGGGATTATGGGACATTTCCAGAGGCTGATCACAGCATAGTAACGCAACACCTCATTCACTGGTGCCACGGCGCTCCAGCGGGGGTGCAGCAAACGTTATTTCACTCGCTGAGGTGGAGTACCAGCAGTGCTGTAGCTGCGGAGTCAGAGCGCTCTACATGCCTTGCCAGTGTGGACGGGGAGTGAGCTAGGGCGCCCGGGGCTGCTTCATTGCGCTGTAACTCGCAAGTGTAGCCAAGGCCTAAGGTGCCACAAGGACTCCTTGTTGTTTTTGTAAATCAGTATAATGCTTTGGAATCCTTCTGGATGATAGGAACTCTGTAAATCACATCACTGGAGCAGTTGTTTCATCAAAGGCCTTGGCTACACTTACCCGCTAGTTCGGCAGCTGGCAATCGAACTTCTGGGTTCGACTTATCGCGTCTAGTCTGGACGCGATAAGTCGAACCCGGAAGTGCTCG